CAGGGATGGCGAACCAATGGCACGCGTGCCATTTATGGCACGCGACACAATATTTTGGGCACTCCACCGATCACAATTGTTGTTACACTATGAATTGTTATTACATAAATGTTATTACGCTATGAAGCATATGTAACAGTTAAATTAAAATTCACAAAAAATAAACAAAATAATAAGCAATTATTAATAAAACAATTAAAAGTTAATACTAAAAAAACAATTAATAACCGCAAAAACCAAGCTAACAATAAATAACTAGCAAAAAATCAACAGTCCTGCTTAAACTAACATCTTACAACCTAATATAAGTTATTTGTCATCTAATCTGCAACAACTGAAGTCACACTGATGCTACTTTAAGTTGAATTACGTGTATAACTGAGACATTGCAAAATGTATTTTTTTCAATGTAAATAAAGAGTTTTGAGTTGATAGTATTTAGTACTATTATTTTCCCAATAATCACGAAGTCAAAATTATTTGACGTCACGTCTATGACCTCATTAAGCAATTTTTTTAGAGAAAATGGCACGTTAGTGTATAAAGGTTCGCCATCCCTGTTTTAAAATACCGATTTCAAGTAATAACGTGAATAGCAGAGCTTAAAATATAATTATCATTGATAAGTCACTGTTTGAAAAATTAATATTTCAAGAGGCATAACACAATATTTAAAAAGTAGTTTTATTAATAAATAACATAAATATTTTTATAACAATAAGTTAAAGGATGAAATTGTACGGCGAGTGAATTTCGATTTTTTTCCCACATGTGTTGGCTTTTTATGATCTAACTCTAAAACAAATGGAATTATTTATGCAAGGTCCAGCTTGCTCAATCATTATTTTTCTGTAAAGCTCTAAAAGACTTAAGAATTCGTGCCAAAAACAGTAGTAATATTTGGTTGTTTAAACAAAAATTTTGACCAGTCTTAACAGGCACAAAAAATGACTAAAAGAATCCTACTATTTAAGCACAATGATACTATAGGCGCTTATTTACAATGAAACATTTCAATCTGATGAATCTTCGGCTCATTTTGGTATTGCCTTGTTGTTGTCAGCCTCAGCGTAAGCGTCAATGGCCTTGGTGAGGGTCTCCAGAACTTGCATCACGGTTTCCTGATTAAAACCGGAAAAGAGTGATTTGGATTTCCTGGCATATCCAAGAGATGGAGAGAATGGAATGGGAGAGGCGAACAGCCCTTGGAAGATGGGGGCCAGCAGGGCGACGAGGGCTACACCCAGAGCGATGGGGACGACTAAACTAATAGCTGTTCCGAGGTTGACTCTGGCTGCGATGTCGCTGTGTGTCCTTCCAACAACGTCAGCTTTGGGTTCGTGCTGCTGGGCACTGACCATGATGACCATGGTCAAGAATAAAGCGATCGATGCAATGGTATTCATGTTTAAGTCTGGAAGAAAAGTGAAAAATTAGCTGGGAAGGCAAAATAAGTGAATTCTTTTTGTGATTTTGTGGAAACTAATGAGATAATTGGCAAAGTTGTAATTTTAATCAAGTCAAGTTTAATTTTACCGAGTTTGTAAAGATAATTGACAAGTCATTTTTTTGTTTTATACATATGTTTTTGGATGAAACGGATTACTCAATGTCATGACAATTTCGTTATTATTGCCTACATCGTTCCATATCACCGCCCTTAATGTATGATAATATACTAACATATTAAGGATGATGATAAATAAATTATAAATGAATTAGTAAATTAAATAATAATATAATAAATTAATACACAGTATCTTAATTTTTAGTACTATTATTTATTCTTCAATTAATAAATTAACATATTAATAAAATAATATTCTTAATAAAATAATGCTCTTAATAAAGTAATATATGTTTTTAGAATGCATGTCAAAATTCAGTTAAAAAAAAAGAATGGGTACTAGAAGTCTCAAATTAACGAGAGAAAAAAAAAAGTTTTTCAAAACATGACGATTCATTAACAAGTGAAACCAGATTAAAATTAGCAAAACTTGTTTGATTGTTTGAGAAGGATTATTGCAAAAATATTCCTCTCACAATCACAGTATTTTTGGTGTTTTTAAATCTGCTATCATAAAAAAAAGATTTGTTAGATTTTGAAAACGTTTTTCCATTTTCTTCATTAAAATATGAATTTGCGACCCTTTCTGTGCACTCTTCCTTTCTTTTCTTTGCCAAACATGCTATAAACATATATTAAGCGAGTCTGTTATGTAAGACCCTAAATAAACTGAGGTTAAAAACAGAAATAAAAAATTGAACACTACTGAAGATATCACATTTTTTTTTGTACGTAAAATCTTTTATTATGGAATAGAATCTTAAACTTTTTATTTTTTAAAAATTTTATTAATTTTTTAACAATTTTTTAAAAGCAATATTTTTCAAAGGCATGCAAAAAAAAAAAAAAAAAAAAAAAAAAAAAAACACAATTTTTTTTTAGGAATTCAATACATTGTAACATCAGGGTGAAGTTAATTTTTACCCTAAAATTTTTTTTGAAGCAGAATTTTATGGAATAAAAATCTGATATACCATAATTTTTATAGTAATATCTACTGTGAAATTACTGAATCACGGCAATTAAATAAATATTACTGTAAAATTACATAATTAACCACATAATTTTTGGAGTAATAACTACTGTGAAATTACTGAATCACGGCAATTAAAAAAAATATTACAGTAAAATTACGTAATTAACCGCATAATTTTTAGAGTAATATCTACTGTGAAATTACTGAATCACGGCAATTAAATAAATATTACTGTAAAATTACATAATTAACCACATAATTTTTAGAGTAATATCTACAGTGAAATAACTGAATTACGGCAATTAAATAAATATTACTGTAAAATTACGTAATTAACCACATAATTTTTACAGTAATATCTACTGTGAAATTACTGAATCACTGCAATTAAATAAATATTACTGCAAAAATTACGGTATTAAATTTTACGGAAAAAATGGATTTTTCTGCTGATGCACCTAGGGTGCGGGTACCTTAAACGCAATTTAATCCTGTATTTTTTATATTGTACATAATAAAAACAAATTTTAATACACTAAATAAATTATAAATTTAATTTATTTTTCACGAAATTTAAACTATGCAATAAAATTTTAATTTAATATTGTGCAATACCCCCTTAAAAGTTACACAATAAACATTGAAATTTACGCTATCCGTACACTTCCTTCAACCCGTACGTTCCGTATACTTCAAATACAATTCGTACACTACATTCATAGGCTTGTTTTGTGAATTTGAGTTAAAATTACGGTTATTATATAAATACTCTTCAAATTAACAGTTTTACGCAAAATTTATTTAAAAAGTCAATATAACTTATTGCCTCTTAAGTTGTGTCTAAATATGTCTGTGATTAAATGTTATAATAAGATAACATAATAACAATAATGATAATAATAATTTTTCAAGTGGTAGTAGCAATAAATTAAGTGATTGTATTTATCATTATAATAAGTAAATTTCATTAGATTTCTTGTAAACTTGAATTTATGTTATCCTTAATATTTTTATTTATAACTACTGTATTCGGAAATAGTCTTATTTTCCTAACACAATTTAATTCAATAAGAAATTTTAAAAAATTTTTCGTTACCAATATTTCTATCGGTTTATTTAAGAAGTAACAATCGAAGCTTATGCATGAAAGAAAAAAACGCTTCAATAATTGTATTTTCATGATAATAATTTACTGCCACGCGCCTCTTCAAGCGAAAAGATTATCTTTTAAATACAAAAAAGATATCTTTGTATATAAATAATATTTACTTATTAAATAGATTTCTTTCAGAAAGTGTTTTGGTGCTACTTTTTTTAATCTTTTTTATCGGAATAACTTATAATAATTTATAAAACAAACTTTCGAATCGTTTTGTTAAAAATATCCCAAGCCATTAATAGAATATAAGTTTTTTTTAAAAAAAATATGCAATAATAATTTTTAATTATTTGTTCGTACCTCTATAAACTTATGAAATATATTTACGTGATATTTCCTAATCCAATTACGGACAATTAGCTTAATGATGTATGAAATATGCATAATGTATATAGCCATTACAAGATATAAACAATAGTTTAATTTGGAAATATTATCTGTTTAATGCAAAAAGATGTATTTAAAAATATATTTAATGCTTATCTATTAAATAGATTTTATTCAGAAAGTGCTTAGAGTTGTAGTTTTTAAATTTTCCTAAATAAATAATTTACAAAATAAACCTATGAAACCCTTTGTTGTTTAATAATTAATAAGAAAGATAATTTCACTGCGAGCTTAAGTTTTACTTGAGAGCTAGAATCGTTGTTGCTTCTTTCTTTATTTGTTCATTCAATATATTAGAACAAAATTTTAAATTCAAAATATTAAATCTGGACAAAAACTATGGGAAACAAACGATGAACTAGAATATTTTAAAGCAATTATTCGCATATGATACTCATAGTAATTTAAACATTTTAAAATTCAGAATATTAAAAAGAAAGTACAAAAAGTTTTACACAACAAAGATATTAAACAAAATGGCACAAAGAGTTTAAAACTGAAAGAAAATAAGCTTTTTATAACTATTTGATTTGTATACAAATTTTATTGGGCACTCTATAGAATATTAATAAAATCTAACTATTTTCTTTGAAATTAAAACTATCACTGAAACTTTTTTAGTTGGAGATTTTATTGGCTTAAGCGAAATTAATTTTAAATAATTAGTGTTTTAATTATTATTCTATGTTAACATATTACTTATGTTATTATTAACTTTTATGTTAACCTGTGTAATATAATGTTAGGTTTATGTTTAATATTACCAGAAGAATTTTTTACAAGAAGTAAAAGGCATTTTTCTTGCATTTTAGAAATTTGCATGAAGTCAATTTAAACAAAAATCATAAGTGTAAAATATAAATTTTGAAATTCATGGTAGCATAGATCTTAATTGCAGCCCAGCAACTATCAGATTATAATAAGAATAAATCATTACTCTACCTTCATATACAAAATATTATTCAATAACAGCTTAAAATTTAGATTTTTTTTCTTCAAAAAATAGCATTTCTTATTTATATAATTTGTCAATAATGTTTAGGTTTCTTATTTATTCACGATTTACTTCAAATTATTGATATAAATAGTTATTTTCATTTCTGCTTGTAAAGAAAAGGAACGAAATAATTATGCCAGAATTAAAATTTAAATTAAAATTTTTAAATTTCAATAATAAGAGATGAAAAAGACTACTAAATTCTTACATTTTAACAGTAAGAAGTTCTTAAATTTTAATAGCAAGAAGTAAAAAAAAGTCTACTAACGTTCCTGAATGTCAATAATAAGGGACGGAAAAGTCTAATAAAATTGTTAGATTTCAATAATAAGAGATGAAAAAGTCTTAATTTTTATGAAGCATAACGTTTAAAAAAAAATTATATCAACTCACTTAAGGAAAGGTGAAACGAGAAAGCTCAATCTTACTAGTCTTGGTAGAAAGGTTCCGAAGACGAAAGTAATTTCTACCTCTATTACCTCTCAGGTTATATATCCGAGCCTAATTAGCCTACATCTAACGGTCGGGCGGAGTGAATCCTAACATTCCGGCACCCGCCTGACACACTTGACCCCTGAACCATTAGTTCACCCGGACATTAGAGCATCGACTCCAACAGATGTGCCTCAACTTCAACACCCAAACTGGAGGTGTCAAGCGACGGAAGACGGATATTACTATGAAGGAGTGAAATAAAATTAATAAGTAGGTTATTGGGAAGGAATTTTTTTTAGATACCGTAAGGCCTTTTACTGTTTCCGACAATAAAGAAGAAAAAAAAATACTTATTATAGTAGTTTTTCATAACTGAATGATTTTATTAAATCGTTTGCTCAGCGAAAATAAATAATAGCTCAAATTGAATAAAAAGTGAATTTATCGTTTGCTTTTTTTTTTCACAATTGTTCCTTTTTTTTCTACTTTTAGTAAGAAAAAAAAGTAACGGAAAATGGTATTATAACATTATTATTGTTCCTTTCTTGAGTGATTTTATAAAAAGAATTTAAAGCTTGAAGTGAGAAATTTTTTTTCTTCTAAGAAATATAGGTACTATAATACACTTTTAAAAATAATAATGAAATGGGGAAATATATTAAGTGTTATTTTAAGTTTCGGTTCACCAGTTAACGAATACTTTTTTCTCCAGAATACTCTGTAGTTTAAAAGAAATAAAGCCCTTTCTTAATGCATTTTTTTACGAGTCTAAAAACATTGCATTCTAATTGAAAAAAATGCTATAAATAACTACCATGCAAATTATATGATAAAAAAAGTGGAAGACCGTCGTTTTCCGCGCGTGTATGCTATACGATTCCTAAACATTGAATAAACAGTGGTAAATGTATTGATTTAATTACCAAACAAATTAAATAGATTTGCATAAATTGATTTCCCACTAAATAGTTATACAATCTTGATGCATCTTGCAATTGATAAATATACAACATTTTCGCCAGCAAAGGAAAGAAAGAGGCATCTATCAGAGCGTAAAAAATTGAAATACTCAAAGAAATTTCATTTTTAGTGCTTTATTTTTATTTTTTAAATGTAATTTGTAGCACTTCAGGTACATTTAATTTTTACTACTCTAATTTTTTTATTCAAGCATAAATTTTGATACCCTGATAAATACCTGAAAAACCTTAATTTTTCGTACTTAATTTTCGATCAAATATAAATTTTGAGACATGAAAAACCTTCATTTTTACTGCTCCAATTTTTTTTTCCAATCATAAATTTTGACTCTGATCTGTAAATTATCAGGATTTCAAAATTGAGACGCCTTAATTTTTCATATCTTATTTTTTCAAATACTACTTTTGGCAGAAGAAAATTTTTACTACTTTTATTCAATCATAAATTTCAAAACCCTGATAAGTACCTGAAAAACTTAATTTTCACTAAAAACCTTTCCTAGAATGCAATATAAAAACCTGTTGCGCAAACTATCTGGAGCAAATTTACTGCAACCTTTATAAGGTCTTAATTTACATACCTAATCAAAATGTTAATCGTGCGAGTTAATTTTTCTTGAACTTGATTATACGATATTACGTTTCAATCTTAGTGGAAGCAAAACCTTACTTAACACCTTCTAAAGACTGGAACAAATTTAAAGAACCGTTTATTATAGTTCAATAAAGAAAAAGTAAAGCTGTCCTGCAAACAACCCGTGCGAGCCAGCGTATACTTGGATATTAATGTTCTATGACTAGCCATGACAATTTCCTGCTAGAGCATGTTTGTAGCAATCAGGCTGAAATTAGAAAACTTAATTTTGTTATGAAAAATTTAACAAGCTAGAGCTATTTTGAGTGTAAAGTTTAATCAAATAGTTTTATTATATGGTCAGCTTATAAAAATGTTTATATTAGATTTAGAGCTATCTAATGAACTCAGTGAAAATCCAATAAATAACAGAATAGTATCAAAATTTCCAAGAAAAAAACCTTTTTTTGGTCAACTTAGGGTTTAAATAGTAACTCTATTAAATAAATGTAAATTATTTCTGTGCTCTGCTCGCAAGATAGGTGACAGGTTATTAAAGTTTCTCCCCTTTTAAATTACAAGGTAAATTATAGGTTCTTCATGATAGAGATCAACTTAGGCAGGGGATCATTAAAGGTTTTACTGTATTTAGTAGTTTAGCTCTAAGCACTTATTGTCCAATCAAAATGAGCGATATATAAAGTAAAGCATTCCAGCAACAGCCTGTTGTGGGTCAGAAAGTTTGTGCGGGTTAACCTGGTACCCAAGCTCGTACCCAACGATCTCACTGGGTACACTGAAAAAATTACGGTATAAATGCCGGAACTTGGGGTGCATAATCCGTAAAATCCATTTCACCATAAAATCCATTTTTGCCTTAAAATATTATATCGTAATTTTTTACTGCAATATTTATTTATTAAAAGCGATTCAGTTCTTTCTCGGTAATTAATACTATAAAAATTACGTTACATCATATTATGTTCTGTAACATGTTCCGGTAAAAATGCATTTAAAGGTACAAAGTATCGGCATCCTGAGCTCCGGTCTTTTTAATTTTTTACAGTGTAAGCTTCAAGCCGCTACTGAGGATCGATCCATATTCTTTCACAATGACAGATAAGTGTCTTTAAGAATTGAACCATCGCACCATGTTATGGTTCAGTATTAAACCAATTATTCTGAAAGTGAGCGCTGGAAAAGTTTTTAAAAAGGGAATAACGTTATTAATATTATTAATTATTTTTCTTTGGGTAGGTAGGTATTTTATTTACGTCGCACTAGAGCTGCACAATGGGCTGTTGGCGACGGTCTGGGAAGCATCCTTGAGGATGATCCGTAGACATGTCATCGCAATTTTGATCCTCTGCAGAGGGGATGGATCCCTTGCTTTGGTAACCCGACGACATGCGAGTGAAGTCGAGCACAGAGTTTAACGCGGACGATACCGCGCACCCTCGGTTCCTACGTAGGCTAACCAAAGTGGTCACCCACCCGCTTACTGACCGCAGCCAGTGATGCTTGACTTCGGTGTTCTACTGGGAACCGTGTCTTTACGATCAGTCCACTGCAGTACTATTTTTCTTTGCATTGAGGAACTTATTATTCAAAATTTAGAATTTGAATTTAATTAATAAATAATTTTAATTTGAAACCATAATATTTCGCAAGAAAAAAAAAATTTATTTCACCTAATAGAAAAGAAAACAAAAAATTTACATCATTCTTTTTAAACAAAAACAACTGTATCCATGTCGATAATGAGCTATAATATTTCATTACATTAAAAAATATTAGAATATTCAGTGGGAAATATACTAGTGATGATAATGAAATAATTTAAAAATAAATTTTTAAAAAAAGTCAAATTTGTAGCGAAAACAAAATATACTCGAAAAATTGAATTATTGTGGGTCAGAAAACGGAAATAAAAACGGGAAGCATAAATAGGAAGAATAAATCGGAAAACGGAAGAAATGAAGAAAACATAAAATTAGATAAAATCAAATAAAATTATTGCGGTTATTTTTGAGAATCCCCGATAGGTAAAATTTTATAACAATCAGTCTATTGATCTGTTGATGACCGATATAACCGATCTTAACCGATATACATTCCAATCACGCTATGATTAGTATCAAATTCGTGAACAGATAGGAAAATAATCCTATCTAGCGCAGTCTATTTCCGGTCATCATTTAAAATCGATTCTTTGTTCCAAAATTTTTCAGTAATGAAAAAAGTTTTACCTTAATATTTTCGTTTATTTTTGAAGTTAAATTATGTTATTTTCCCAATTTCATCATTTTTATGAAAAGGAACTTTCAAAATACAATTAAATTTCTTTATGTATGCGTTCATTTAATGTAATTAAAAAAAGGGGTAATTGCATGACGTTAGGTAAAATATACTCATTATTTTCTTATGCAATCAGGTTTTATGTTATAACACAATCCATTAACTGATATTCAAATCTGCTGATGACACTTTTAAAAAAAAAAAAAAAATGAGTTACTATATTATTTCATAACATTTTTTACAATGTATCAACATGAATTAATAACTTATTGCTTAAAACAGTGGAAGTACTATTTAAAACAGAAGTTAGTTTGTTTTGATCCTGAGCTACTCAATAACATGATTATTAATTTTTTAAGACATTAAAACACACTTGAACTACTTAAAAAATTATTTTAGTAAATTAAATTTCCTTTTTTTTTCATTAAGAAAATTTAAATGAAAAAGTAATTTTCTTCTCATATATTTTTTCGGTTTTATAAAATTATCTTTCATTAAAAAGTAATTAAAAGTATATTGAGTATATTGAGTAACAGTTTTATAAATTCCCATAGTAAATTATCACTAATTATTACATTGCTAACTCAAAATAACTATATTCTTCTTCTTATGATTACAACACAGTAAAAACTGTTGTGTATTATCTCTCCGAATTTGGTATTGAACAATCCTAAAAATTGTGTATAGGAACACTTCTTTTTCTAGTTAACACCAAATCGAACTTTCATATATAATTTAAATGGTGTATGAAAACTTTAAACAACTAAAATGCAAAAAGTTTATGCCAAGATCTTCCTCCTTCACACTATACATTAAATATTTTTGCTTCTGAAAACTCCAATGTTGGCACGTTTCTGGACATTTTCTGTAATTATTTACAATTAATAACTAGTTGGCGAATGTTTGTGATTGTCTTCAATGATGTTATTCAACTACAGCTCACCATTAAAATATGCATGCATGTTTTTAGTTGTGTAATAAGGATATTTTTATTTAAATTTTTAAGTTTTTTGAACTGGATTAAATAATTTTGCAATGTTTAAAGTTACTGTTTCAGAGGAAAGTTTTATGAAAACTAATAACAAATTGCACAACATTGTAAGGGTCTCTTAAATAAAATCGCATTGCTTATAAACTTGGAGAAAAAATTTCATAAAATGTACGATTAAGATAAAGTTTCAATATTCTTAATTGTCTTGAAATAGCCTTAAGTAATTCTAAAAATTTATATCTATAATTTAATAGAGTTCCACTAACTAAAATGTAGCACACATATTTGTTTGTAAATTCTACATGTCGTAATTAATGATAATTTTTGTTTTATAATTCCTTTATAATTCTTTTAAATTGTAATAGAATCAAATTTTAGTT